CTTCATTCTCTTCCAGGTTCGGCTCGACGTCTGGTGGGCCCCTGATGAACAGCCCTTATTTTTCCTCCAGCGGGAATGGCATAAATTTTTAGGTCTCCTCTTCTCCCTCCTCCTACCTTAGCCCTTGGATCAGGGCTAAGGGCTCTGGAATTCTGGATTCTGCTACAGCTTGGTATGAAGTTTGGAAAGCCAAGGGTCCGACCAGGTCACAGACAGAAGACAGCAAGACCAGACTCAACAATTGACCAACATTCACACGCACAGCCCAATGCCCCCACCCTAAACCCCTCAGATTCATACTAACTTGCTCAACCACTTATGCATCTGTATTTAACTAACACGAGTGATTTTTGTTTTTGTTGTTGTTGTTGGTAAAATAGAAGTAAAACGCTTAAGTTTAGAAAGTTTATATTTTATGATAAAAGTATGAGCTGCTGAAAACAGAGTGTGCCCGTTTGGTTATTTTTATTACATCCTAAGTAATCTTCACTGCTCGTTTTCCCCATGAGATTAAGTGTTTACTGAAGACATGAAGAGAGACCACTTCACGAAATGCTTCTCTCTAAATATGGGACCCGATCATAAATTTGAGTGCTTATCTCTTCTCTTCTATGAACCACCTACTTCTCAACATTCCAGTTTATGCATCTCAGGAATGGACATGAAAGAAGTGGACCCTCCTCTGTCCTATCCAGGTGGCGGTTTTACAGAAGAACTCTCTCTTGGACAGAAGATGGGAAAATGTGGCCTGGAAATCAATTCCAAAAATACTCCTAAAAGTGTCAGACTATATCCAGTGGTTGTATATCAAGTCCAAGCTCCAGGTCAATCTCAAAACTGCACCTAATGGCACTGCCCTTGGTTCTATCTCGATCGGCCTTTCTCAATGACTTGAATAAGGACATTGAGAGCATCCTGATCACGTTTATGGAGGACACAAATCTGGGAAGAGGGATGACTCGAATTAATGATACACATGTACCTTAACTCTTCTATTCTATACCCAAGGCAAGGATCACTTAACAGTTGTTACCCTGGGACACAGTGTCATTCTCCCTGTGGTGTCCCAGGCATCCATCACGGATCAGGGCTGGTCTATGAAATGAAACCCATGTGCCATCCTTTGGCAAACTCTAATAAGATAAAATTAAACAGAGGTTTAGTGTAAAGACCTACTTTAGGGTCTAAAAAATGAGCTATGCACATCTAGATGGACCAACATTGCCAGTTCTAAATTGCAATTCCGAACCCTGTTAGTCACCTGAAAGCTCAACCCCACCCTGCCTGAGGTGGGAGCCTGCTCTGGGGAACATTAGGACACATCCTGATAGCAGTGAGAAGCTGGGGTTGGGAAGTCACCAGTGTCTTGGGATTGGGCTAAGCCAAGTGTCCACAAAAGCATTTCTCTTGCCTTCACAGTGTGACACCATTGACCTCATTGGCTTTTTTTTTTTTTTTTCTGGGTCCCTGGAAACCAATTTTTCTCCCAAGTTCTCTTAGGACTTATGCCTTCTCCACAGTCAAAGTTTGAGAATCCTCCTCAGTACTTCAGGCCCTTTCTCCAAGGTTGACCCTACCTTTAGTGTATCATGTTTCTTGTTGTTATCCTTGGTTAAATGGTCTAGATTTTTCATGGGCTTTGAGAGATACTAGTTACCTAAAAGTTTTCACACATGCATGAGCCCCTTTCTTCCCAGAAGAGCATCTTCACAGCGTACCTCCAGGTATTAACCCAGACTGGGCCATAGTTTACCACCCTCTCCAAATATCAAGAGTATTTGGAGGCAAAAGAGAGGAAAAGAAAGGGCACGGATTTGCCTTTGGCCAAACCTGGGTTCTTAGCCACTTCCCAACTTGACCTTGGTCAGAGAATTTAACCTTTCTGAATTTCAGTTCCACTAATGGTAATGTTCATATTTGTGAAGATTAAAAGATAATGTAGGCTTACTATAGACTTAATGTCTACTTAATATATTCTTGTGGTTTTAAGGTAGTGGAATAAAGATGTTGCTGTCCTTCTATTCTTAAAATTTACTCTTAAATAATAAGGAGATCAAGACAACCTATAGAAACTGCATTCTCAATGAAACTAAGAGAAGCCACCAACAATCCCATCTACTATATTCAAAGGCAGAAATACGATGGGAGAAATGGTAAATGCCTTAGAAGAATAGGGGAAGATCACATTGAAATGCTGGTTGAAGGAGATACATGAACATGAAGCAAATCATTTTCCCATGAGCCCTGAAGCTCTCAGGGACTGGAGGTGCCAGATGCTGGACATCGTGGAAGGTGTGGCTGGAGAGAGATGCAATCAAGGAGTTAATGTAAGAGGTAGCTCTTATCCTGGCCCCACAAATTCAGGAGCCACAGGCAATTCTATAGGAGACAGGAGGCATTTTCTTTGGAGCAAACTTGCAGAACATGCATAAGGATTATGGAGAAGAGGGCCCAGATGGAAAGTGAAGATTAAGTGAAATACACACACAGCCAATGACAGCATCTAGACTTTAACCAAGAGGCAGAAATTTGGAGGGTCTGCCAAAGAAATTTAATTGCCCAAGGGCACTTAGAGGTACCAATGAAAATTACCCTATGATTATGCCCTTTCACAAAGAGCTTCCAATCAACTTTTTTAGGACCCAAAGCTTAATAAGAATGGACAATCTCCAACAACAGCAACAAAAAACATTAAAACAAAGGCAAAAAGAAACTAAGAGAGACAGATCATAATACTCTCAGGGAGATAAGAGAAGATAGTACATTTTTAAAATAAGGACAGCATGTTATATGCTTATTTTAAAAAATCAGAACAAGAAAGTGCTTTTGAAATTAAAACAGTGATTGCTGATTTTTTTTTAAGTGAAAAAGTTGGAAGCTAACATCAGAGATCTCATGGAAAGGAGAATTCAAAAAAGACATGGGATAGATTATGAGATAAAAGATAAGAAAATGAGAGGATCAGTTCACGAGGCCAAATATCTGGCTAACAGGAGTTGTAAGCAGAAGAATGAAAAGATGGGGGAGGAAGTATTAACAGAAAAACATAAGAAAATTTCCCGGTTCGAATGGTTCAGACCAGTGCTCTGCAAAATGAATGAAAAAGATCTGCATCAAGGCATATTGCTGTGAAATTTCAGACCATCAGAGATAAAGGCAAGATTCTTAAAATTTCAAAAAAAAAAAACCAAACCCACTCACATACAAATATTCAAGAATCATAATGGCATCAGATTTCTCAGCAATAACATGGTAACCTAGAAGACCCTGGGACGAAGGTGTCATCGGTTTGAGTAAAAATGATTTTTAACCTGGAATTCTAAAACTAAACTTGTGTCTAGTTTAGAACGAAGAAGTTTTCAGATATGCAAAATCTCATAAAACTTACCTCCTTGCAACTTTGTCAGCAAGCTAAGGGAGGATGAGCTCCACGAAGACGAGGAAACCGAGACAGAAGATGTGGGCTCCAGGAAATAGGTACCCACTGGAAACTCAGCAGGAGGAAGGTTAAGGAGACTCCTGAGGGGATGGAAGAGGAAGTTCTTAGCTCAAGAACAGAACTGTGAAACGGAGCCTGGGAAGCCAGCACAGACCAGTCCAGATGGAGCAGGAAGTTGGAGACCTCAAATAGGAGGTGTGTCAGTGGGATGCTGGGAGGGCCTGGAGAAAAAGAAAATGACCAGTTATTCTGACAGTGTTGACCATGTTGGAAATTCAAGAGTTGTATTGAGAGTTGTTTTATAGTGGTTGGTGGGGATGGGAAGATTGAGCTTCCCATGAATAAAAAAATTGTTATTTACTCAGCAGGGAACTATATTTATGTGATCATAATAATAAAAATCCCAAATATGGATTTAACCTAAATTGTGTTATAACTATAGTGAGAGAGTGGAGGTAAAAAGAGGGGTGTGAATAGAGCTAAATTCTTCATTTATCATTGTAGGAAGTCACTAGGTGATATCTAAAATGGATGATTAAAGAGATGGTGGAATTTCCATCATTATCTAGAAATCTGAAGGTAAATCATAGGATAAAAAGCCAAGAGAATCGAAGGACTTACTTACCTATGAGAAGCAGAGAGGGTTTGTGAGGGGTGGTGGTACAGGGATTGCTGCCTTGTTCATGAGCCTTTTAGCATTATTTGGCTTTTAAAGCATGCACATGTATTACTTTAATAAAAATAAGTATTAATTTAAAAACGAAATTGCATGTAGAACACCATCTAACATGGTGCCCAGCACATGGTGATGTCGAAAATCCTTGTTGACTTCTACTGAGCTGCATTCTGACATAGCCAAAGCCCACCACCGAAGTCCCCTTCCTGGGATGTCTGAGAATTGAATTCTCAGAAGCTTCCATGAATTTTTCCCTAAAAGAATTTTAAAAGGAAACTTAGTTAAGGGCGAGCTGGGGCCAATACCCAATGCTTTTCCACCACGTGGCACTCCCTGACTCCACTCACCTCTCCAGGAATTCCAGAAATACTTGGAGAGTACTAGGAACAGGAAGCCTGAGTGCTTGTTCGATTCACAAGAGATTAAAACTCCCAGCTCTTCCCTGTGCTCCTTCCAACCACCTCTCCACTCCATTCATTCAGTGCATATTCACTGAGATTCATTCTTAAGCATACAGCAATGGGCGAGACAGGCAAAGTCGGCACTTTTAAGACATGCATTTAATGCTTAAGATATTAAATCATAGTTGGTGAAAGGTGATGAGGTTATTAAAGGGATATATGAGAGCACATAGCAGGACACCCGCCCATGTCAGAGTGTCAGATAAGTGATGTCTGCTCTTGTAACATTCCTGGTCCCTGCATCTAATTCTCATCTGATATGTTTTCGAGTTGCTACTACCCATTCTCTTTCCTCAGAAGATACTTTATTTATAAGTCTTAAAACTAATGACAGTCTGCGTGCATGTGATTTAAGCAATAAAATTGAGGAGTAACATATTTTTGTGGGTTCCAGAAATAATAAAATAACAGCTACTAATCATTGAGCACTTACCATGGGGCAGAGCACCGTATACATCATCTTTATTATCTAGTGTAGTGTTCATAATAACGTGTGATGTATATATATTTATTACA